TACTAATTACAGCAGTCCTTTTAACATTTCTTGCAGTGCTGGTTTGGTGCTAATATATTCCCTTAGCCTTTTTTGTCTGGGAAGCTCTTTATTTGACCTTCTATTTTGAGTGATAGCCTTGCTGGATGGAGTAGTCTTGGATTCAGATCCTTGTTTTTCATGACCTTGATTATGTCATGCACTCCCTTCTGACCTGTAGTGTTTCTCTTGAGAAGTCAGCTGAGAGTCTTATGGGGCTTCCTTTGTAGATAACCTGTTGCTTATCTCTTGCTGCCTTTAGGATTCTCTCTTTGTCTTTAATTTTTGGCATTTTAATTATTACGTATCGTGGTGTGGGCCTGTTTGGGTTCTTCTTACTTGGTGCTCTCTGTGCTTCTTGAACTTGAATGCCTTCTTCCTTCACCAAGTTAGGAAAGTTTTATGTCACTCTTTCTTCAAATATATTCTCTAACCCTTGCTCATTTTCTTCTTCAGGGACTCCTATGATGCAAATGTTATTACGTTTCCAATTGTCCCATAGTTCTCTTAAGCTGTCTTTCTGTTTTTTAATTTTTTCTTTTTGGTTTTCTGTTTGGTTGATTTTTCTCTACCCTGTCTTCTTATTCACTGATTTGGTCCTCAGCTTCCTCTACTCTGCTAGTTAGTTCTTCCAATGTGTTCTTTATTTCTGCTATGTCATTCTTCATTTCCACTTGGTTGTTTTCAATGTTTCTATGTCTCTACTCATAGTTTTGATGTCCTTACTCATGCTGTTGAGCTTCCTCAAGATCATGGCTCTGATTTCTACTTCTGATAACTTGCTTTACTGCATTTCATTTATCTCATCTTTGGTAGTGTTCTCTGTTCTTTCATTTGAAATTTGTTTCTTTGTTTCACGATTTGGGGTATCTCAGTGGGCTTTGGAGCCTGCCAAATTTCCCCTGTAGGTGTTGGTGTTCTGCTGTTTGTGGCTCTCTCTACTGGGTTTGGATGAGCATGGGTCGGCCCACGTTAAACACCACTGTCAAATCTTACTTTCCTGGGTAGATTTGCAAGCCCAGTAAAGGTTCAGTTATCCTCTAGCTTTTTGCCAAGCTATTAGTCTCAGTTACTCAGCTCCTGGGATGTAGCCCTCAGGTGTTCTGTGTAAGAGGATATCCAGAGGGTGGGGCAGATGCTGGTTGTTAATTAGCCTCAATTTGCATTTCTTTGGCTCACCTGAGTGGGGTTGAATCTCCAAGGGAGGGGCTACTGTTTTTCCCCATAGCTCCAGGAAGGAGTAAGCTGACCACCGTCCTTTGTGGCTGCAACTCAGCAATAATTCTGAGTGCCCTCCAAATCCCAGGTCTCTCCACAGAGTTTCAGTCCAGTCTACCCTCCCTCTGCCAGAGCCCAAGGTGAGTGGCTGTAGCCAATCTAGTGCTCTGTCCTGGCTCTCTTTGCTGTGGAGCCAGCTAGGGATTTTAACCCTGAGGGTGCTGCTCACAGCTAAGAACACTGCTGTCCATTCGCTCCCAGCCTGCCTCCCTCTCACACCTCTGCAGATCATACCAGTGTCCCTGGTTATATGGCCCTCTTCTGTTGCTTTTTTCTGACGATTTTCTTTATTTTAGTTGTAATTCCCATTTGGTCCTGGGAGATCGTCTGTGTAGCTTCCATTCACTCCGCCACCATTTTTCTCCTCCACTTAACTTCTCCTAAACTCAGTTTTTCCATCTATAAACTGCAACTATTTTTAATACCCTTTACCCTTCTTAATAAATGAAACAATCAATATAAAATGCTTACCACAGTAACTGGAATACAGAACATTTCAGGGTCACATATTTTTTACACAATGTTGAGTTTTGCCCTACAGTGTTTTTCATTTGTTTGTTGGGTTGGTGAGGAACAAACTAATACATTATGTAACACCTGAATTGGTTTTATTCAGGTTTTTGTCAACTTTCTTACAAGATATGGTCTTATTTAAATAAAAGATATAGTCATATTTCAATAAAAAGATAAAAACCATATTATTATGTTTTTGCAAGCACAGGAAGAGAGAGAACTTGCCACTTTCTCAACTTTTAGGCTTCTTCTTTAACGTGGTTCTGAAACTCAACTTCCAAGAAGAGCAAATGAATTCACCTGTGTTGGAAGGACACCTACTATTCTGGTTCATCAGCATGTTGGATGACCATTTCCCTCTTCCTTTTACAAACCTTTCACAGCTGAATTTACTCTGATAAAGCTGAGAATTTTATTCTAATTCCCTTACAGTTTCCCACAATTCCAGTGTGCTCACAGATACTAATAGAACTAAGTGGTCTTTGAAATGTGCTCATAGAGTCAAACTACACACACAAACAACCAGGATCAGGAACCCAGAGCTTCAGAAAGGATGACAATGATGACAGTTTCAATTCATAGAAAAACACCCACAAAGCAGATGGCTAAGAATCCACTGTTCCTTTATGCTTCATACAACATATTGTTGTATCTTTATGATAAGACTAAGACTGATGTCAAACATAAAAATGCATGAAATTGCTTCCAATCAAATCTGTAAATAATTGCAGAGCTCACATTGTGAGAACCTTAGTGGATACTACTTACTTGCAACACAGCTGTGAATACAGCGGCTGGTACAATTAGCCTCAGTGGCTTTTCATCATTTCTTGGGATACCACTTCATGAATGATACAAGTTCAAATATATGCATAATAAATGTATTCCACAAAACAATAACAACAATAATAACAATAAACCCTAGAGAAGTTCTATATTCCCAGCTCAGTAAATGGTTGATCAGTAAATGGTGATGATCAGTAAATGGTTATTAAATGAATAAACAAATATGTAACATTATTGGTTTGACTCAGTGATTTCTAATGTCCTCTCTATAGTAGAAAGTGGGCAGATCTGATGACTTTTTAATGGATGCTGAGCAGAGCCAGCAGAGGGAGGAATGAAAAAGAAAATGTATAGATCAGGGATGCCAGGTAGGCATCTAAAGAAAGATCTCTTCAGAGTTTAGACAAACCTTTTCCATCTATGATCTCCATCTCATTACCATACACCTCATAGGTAGCAGATTTAGGGCAGAGTAGGCCAGTTGGAATTCTTTGTAGTCTCCCACAGCACAAGAGTACCAATCAAGGATCCTATAGGAATCCTACTTGGGAGGGATGACATCTGGGAACTGGTACCCCCACATACACACATATTCATCCTGTGATTAAAGCAAGCACTCTACCAAAATCTGTATCACCTCCCTCACTGCCACAATAAAAGGAAAAGCTAAATTAAAACAAAGACCATGACTTAACATTAGAAGTGAGCCTAATAGATCCTGATTCCCGTAAATTTCCAAGACCTTCGGGGAATTTGTCAGAGCAAGAGCATCACTGTTATGAAAACAATAATCAACAAGTATAAATCATTTATGAAAACAGGCACAGATCTGTTTTGCTTGTTGATAATGTTGAAGCCACTAAAACATTAATAAACCCTGGCCAGTTTGGCTCAGCGGTACAGCATCAGCCCAAGGACCAATGAGTCACGCACGGGTTTGATTCCTGTCAAGGGCACATACCTCGGTTGCAGTTCGTCCCCAGCCCTGGTCATCTCTCTCTCTCTCCCAATATATCTGAAGATAAATAGAAAAATATCCTCAGGTGAGGAATAAACTAATAAATTATGTAACACTTTTTATCAGACCTTTTAATCTTATATAATCATATAAGTTCCTTATAAACTTGTATAATATATACCTTCCACAAAACCAACAGTGGAACATGCAACTGGGTGTCAAGAGCCAAGGGATTATATACATACAAACACTCTCTATGTGTTTAGATATGGTATATAGATATGTACATATCTACCTACCTACCTATTTTATTAATCTACCTACACACACACATATAGCCCTGCTTAATTAACTAGCACAATGCTTTGCTCTATAATATATGTCATTTTACTTGGAAATAAAAGAGTTCATTTGGACTTAAATTTACAGTGTTCATTCTTTTTTTTGTCCTTTTTTTGTTTTGTTTTGTTTTTTGTACGTGCCCCTCGTGGGAACAGAACCTGGGACTCTCTGGTCCATAGACTAACACTCCAACCACTGAGCCAAACCATCCAGGGCAACAGTGTTCATTCTTAAGCCATGTATTAAGAGCAACAACAACAAATTGTTTAAAGTACACGTAATATGACTACGAAAAATCTAAATATATTGATTGCGTAAAAGTCTAAAGTTCATTTGACTCCCTACATCCAGAATGATTTTTCTAAAGCATGAATCTAATCATGTCAATTCCCTGAACAAACTGCTGTCCTAAAACTGAAGTCCCATTCTCTCAAGATGGCTTTTCATCTTCGTGATCTGACCTCCACTCACCTATTAGTTCAAAGCCTGTTTCCTGGTTCCTTGAACGTTCGGCTCGTTTTACCTCTAGCCCTTTGAGTCTGTCACATGACCTTCCCTCCGTCTGGAATATTTCCGACCTCAGTTCACCAGTTTTATCCTGCTTCTCCTTCAGGTCTCAGGCTGGACTCACTTCTGGAAAGGCTTCCTGTCTGGATTAGATGCCCCACCTCTGTCCTCCAGGGGCATCATAGACATATCACTGTCTGGCCTTAATGTCTCTCCCCTTGTCTGCATCCCCCACTAGACTCTAAGCTCCTTGAAGGCAAAGACCATGTTTTGATCACTATTGTATTCTTAGCACCTAGCGCTTGGCTCAAAGTAACTGATCAGTAAATATAAATGAAATGGGGAAGAAGGAGCCAGATGAATGCTAACTATAAGTGGTATCTGGGCAAACTCTCAGGCAGGTGTGAGTTAACTCTTATCGAAGCTTCGTTCACATTAAAGGTGCCCCAGCCTCTGGTCACTATCCCTAGATTCAAAGCCCTGCTCAGGACCTGCTTATTTACCTACAAAGAAGGCCTGGCCCACAGCTCTGCACTGAAAACATTCTCAAAAGGTCACACTTGACCACGCATGATCCGGCTTCAGGGAAAAGACCCACCTCCGTTGTCTCTTCAGAGAAAGCTTGCAGGATGTCCGTCTGCCTGGTGTAGTTGCCATTGGCGTCCTGCAGGCCTTGCAGGATGCGCTCCCGCAGAACCAGCACCGACACGCGGAGCTGGTGCCAGAGGAGCTGCACCGCGTGGATGTCCACGATCACGCTGACAGAGTAGGACAGCAGCTTCAGGGAGAACTCCGTCTCCAGGAGGGCGTGGATTTGTTCAACATGGTCAGAGATATCTTCGCAAATGTCCTGCAGTGGAAAGAAAAGGAAAGAAAAAGATATGATGACTACTTTGCCAAAAGGTCGCTCCTTCACCTGACACCAGTTAGCAGGGCCAGCAGGTCAGGTGAGCACATGTTAGATAGCGAGCCTTTGTTTTCATTCAGATATATAGTTGCAGACCATATTCCTGGGCACTGGCACTTTCGTGCATGCAGGTAAGTTGATCTTTTTTTCTAAACCACAAAAATTCCACCATTCTTTCAGATACCAAAATTAAAAGTTCAGCCAAAGTGAGAGATCGCCTCACAAATCCACTCTCTGTTCTTTTTATTTACGGTTTGTGATCCTCGCAAGTGAGCCAAGGGCTATTCTTTTTGCTTGGGGTGAGCTCCAATGAGCAAACGACGTTTCAGTGTAGAGGCTTCATCCAGACACCCAGCACTGGAGGAAGACCGGCTAGAATCTGTGTTTCATAGGAACTCCCGGCCATTCTCAGTGCACCGCGGGGTCTTTGATGGAAGGAACAATTGTCACATTCCCACAGGGAGACAACTGAAATCCTAAATTCGTAATGGATATCTAAATTTCACCCCACATTTTGCAAGCAGAATCACTCTGAAGAAGGAAAGCCAGAGAAACCCCAAGGATGAAAAAAGACAAAATACACTTTTGCTTTGTTTTTAAGACTTAGACAATTTCAATAAAAACATTACTATATCGAGGTTTCACACACACACACGCACGCACACACACACGCATGCACACACACACACACACACACACACACACATACTGCTAGGTATGCGGATTTGGTATCTGATATGGCACTTGTCCTTACAAGTTCCCGAATTTCTACTGTGCTGTCAGAGACCAGCAACATGAAATTACCAGTATCAACGGTAATATTGACTTGAGCAATTTGAGTCCATTAAATATTAAAATGATATGGATATGAGCTAAAACTGCTCAGTTACCCAATTTTTAGTGATGACCAGTTGTTTGTTTCTTAATGGGGCTTTTATTTGTGATTTTTGGTAAGGCTAACATTTTAAGATAGCATTTGAGTTCTGAGCCCTAACACGAGTATGAAAACAGTCATTCTGTGCTGGAAACTTAACTGTCTGATTCCATAGAATTCAATTACTTGTTTTTAAAGAAAAACTAACACGTAAACTTTATTTAACAACGTGAAAAAATAGGCCCCCAAAAATCTACTGAAGAATGATGGAGAGTTTTTCTGAATTTTGAAGATTATTGTGCAACTCCAATAAATGCTCCAATATTAGTTCTTGAAACCCAAGAACCAATGGGTGATAGTGGTACAAATTGGTGATAATAAAACCTTGGAACAAATTAAAAGTTTATTCTAAATAGACTTTGGAGTCCTAATTAGGTAAAGTTCTTACAAATGTGACCCACGAGCACATGCAGTCCAAAAAAAGATTTGGGGCAGAAATTACATTACCCTATTCACCAGCACATGGGAGCCAATATAGCCGTATTAGCTATCTCTGCTGACCTTCAGCATAAAAGCAGGCCACTGCGTGTCACCAGAGATTCCATACTGCCTGGGGTCTCAGCTAATGTTGCAGCGGTTCTCAACCTGTGGGTCGCGACCCCCCTGAGGGTCGAACGACCCTTTCACAGGGGTCGCCTAAGACATAACAGTAGCAAAATTACAGTTATGAAGTAGCAACAAAAATAATTGTATGGTTGGGGGTCACCACAACATGAGGAACTGTATTAAAGGGTCGCGGCATTAGGAAGGTTGAGAACCCCTGGCTTAGAGCTTCGACTCCGTTTCCCCCCACACCTCTGACTCCTGAGGCCTCAGTCACCCCGAAGCACAGACCCTGCCCCTTTGCCCTCTCACGATGCTCTTTGCTGAGCAGTACTGTGCGGCCTTGGAAAACGCCCTTCCTCCCGCTTCCGACTGCCCCCACATTCTCTGTCCTTTCCTGGCTAATATCTCCATTCCATTCCAAAAACACTCCTTCACTTCTTCACAGAAGAATTATGTGAATAATTATATCATCCACCTCCTGGCCTTACCCGACCCCGACTCCGCCTGCGGACCCTGTTTTCCCTGTTGCCTGTTATCCCAGGCCTCACCCGAGAGCTGGGGGGGCTGAGGGGACCCGCAGGCCCCGCGCTCCTCTGCCCCGTCCTGCTCATTACTGTGTGCCCTCACACCAACTCCCTCTTCTCCAGGGTGTGCCTACTGCCATGAGGCTTCCGCTACTTACAATCCCCATGACTCGACATGGATTTCATTCGTCCCCTTGTATTTCCTTCTGAGAAAAAATGTTCTCCAGCAAGCTCATTTAGATGATTAAATCAAGAGATGTCTCAAAGACTAAGAAATCTTAAATTATAAATTAAAGATAGTTTTCAAATGTCCTTCAAGCAATAATGTTTTCATAGCTTCTGAAATTATCTTTAGCTCAACCCATAATTATTATTATGAATAGAAGGATAATGTCTTTAGAAATTAATTACTTCTTCGTCTCAGCAAATGCCTTGAGTGCCTGCTATGTACTAATCCCTGTCTGGGCTACACAAGGTGTAGGATTCCAGAGCCTGGCCCCTGGAGCTCCCCGGCTGGTAGGAGCAGGGGACGAAACAAAAGTTACAGTTAGGAGGGTAAGTGTAATTGACCTTCGGAGGGTACACAGGTGAGAAGGAGAGAACTGCCCATGGAGGCAGAGGAAAGGGAGAAGAACGCTTCTCCAGGTACGTAGTTTGGGTTCTGAAGGAGACAACCTGGAGGGTGAGGCAGGGAAGCGCATTCTGGGGAATAGCCGTGTCGGTGTGGTCTATGGCGCTGGGGTTTTACATCAATGTCTTACACATGGCACAGAATCCATACAAGAGAAAATGTTGACTTCATCAAAATTTAAAACATTCGCTTTGCAAAAGATATCTTTTAAGAAAAGGAAAATATAAGTTACAGACTAGGAAAATATATTTGCAAATCACATGTCTAACAAAGGATTTATATTCTGAATATGTAAAGAACTGTCAAAACTCAACAATAAGAAAACAACCAAGCCAATTATGAATAGGCAAAAGACTTGAACAGAAAAGTCTAAGTGGATATAATGATGGCAAATAAGCACATTAAAAAAAGCTCAATTTAATTAGCCACCAGGGAAATGCAAATTAAAACCACAATGAGATACCACTGTGTACACACCTATTAGAATGACCAGTATAAAAAATTACCAAGTGCTGAAAAGTTCCAGAGCAACTGGGACTTTCCTACAGTGTTGGTAGGAATGCAGAATGGTACAGTCACTGTGGAAAACTGTTCAGCAGTTTCTTACGTAGTTGGACATACTTACAAGATGAGCCAGAAATTCCACTCCCGGGTGTTTATGGTAGAGAAATGAAAGCTTAGGTACACACCAAAATGAAAAGAAGCTCTTCTCATAACCACCAACACCAAAATATTCTCCGGTGCGCAAATGGATAAACAACCTATGGAACATCTACACACGACACAGTCTCAAAATGTTATACAGTGTCTATTTCCATTGATATGACATTTTCGAAAGACAAAACTGTAGTGAGTGGTTGCCAGGGACTGAGGGTGGGGAGAGCAGGACTGCAGACTGACAACATGCAGGAGTTTTCTAAGGCGATGGGACTGTGCTGGACCCTGATTCCGGAGATGGTTATACAAATCGACACGTGGGTTAAAGCTGCAGAACTGTACACCAAAACAGAAAGTTAATTTTTCTGTATGATAATTTTAAAGATAAAACCAATTCACAGTCTCTTATTAAAATGCATGCAAACATTTGTTTTAGGTCAAACATTCCCTGTGGATTCTTGGAAATTACAAGTAACACCTCTCTTAAGGCCATGGCATTACAATCATCAGCCTAATTCTGTGGCGAACACATGATTTTCAGACAAGTATAAAAGGAAATGAGGTTAACCTGGAGCCCCCCCCTCAAAATGAATTAAGGCAAATAACCATGGCTAACAATCTACCTTCAAAGTTGAGTAAGATTTTTTTCCCTAGATTATTACTGTGTTAATGTGCAAAGGCGATGTTCTCTATTTTCTTGTGTAATTCACACACACCACAGTAGCCTCTGTAGCCTTCAGAATTCTCACAGCTTAAAATTCATTGAAGACTTTAGGTTGCCAACAGCCTCAAACTCCTGGATACCTTGGGTCTCAACGTCGCAGCTGCCGCCGCCTGTCATTAAGACGGGAATCTTCTGTGGGTACAACACTGACTTGACCTGAGACTGTTTACAAATAAACTAGCTGGATGAGTCAATGATTTTCTTTTATAGGTGTCTATTTTCTGCAAGAGAGGTGCCTTTTCTTTTTTTGTGAGGTTGTTGTGTATTTTCTAATTGTATCATTTATTTTAGACAGGTGCAGCGCTGTTCTGATCACTGCTATGTATTTAACCAGTAGGTCCAGTTGTCAGGAGCACAGATAGAAATGAGGGTACTCTCCCCCGACTGCTCTAATTGCTTACCCTAAGAATGCTAAGTGTGACTGCAGCTCCTGTTACTTGTCCTTGGGAGGGGATCTATTTGCTGCCTCATCATGAGGCCACCATGCCTATTTTCAACCATTTTTTCAAAATATCTTGAAGGTTTCCTCATGAAATTATGTGTCTGCGGATTGACATTCTGCAAAAGTTCCCCAAACTTCCAGTCTCCATGGCTCCTGGTGCATTTGGAAGGAAACCTGCCCTTCCAACAACTTCCTCGCCCAGGTACCGAAGCAACACATGGAGTCCAGGTTTCATGAAATCCCGCAAATGCAGCCCCTCCCACTTCTCTGTTTCTTTCTTCCCTGCATGCACCCCCAAATGATAAAGCATAGCAAATGCCCCCAAGACCTACAACCTGACTCTGTATAGGCACAAACGGTAATTGCTCAGCATTTTTCCATTCATCTACGACCCTAAATAATGTCTCTTTCTCTACCCCTAAAAATAAGTTCACTGGCTCAAAATACTTCTTGACTTACATTTATCTAACTGCAGGATGATTCAGATGATTTTTCTTTTTAAAAAAAATTAAAACCTACTTTTAAAAGACAGGCCTCCTCACTCCTTGTTGGTTTTTTTTCACTTCTATCTTTTTCCCAACAGAGCTTCAGAAATCTTGAACCCTTGTCTCACCCAAAGCATACCATTACATTTAGAATGAAAAGTTTCCATGTTCTAATGACAGTAAGCAAAAGAGAAGTAGATATAAGATGTATTTTGCAGACATATTTTCGTCTCATCGCAAAATGCCATGTCATCATGACTGCTCATTTGGTTTACTAGCAATTGTAGACATGAATAAAGAAAAGTGTCTTTTACCCATCCATATGCTCACCATATGCGTGCATTCATTAGAAAAAGCTGAGAAGAGATTCTTACCTAATACATGTACTTTATATTTTAAAATACAGATCAAGGGAACACCAGTTACTTGTTAAAAACAAAGCACCTAATAAAAACCATTTGAACTAAAACTTGCAATTTTATACAAAAAAACTTCCTCTTGCAGGTTATTAATGTCATCCTTAGTTGGTTATCAAAACTTTACTTTCTCCAAAAGACAGATTGATGGATGTCACTATGACAAGGCATTTTTATTTTCCCAATAGCAGACTGCCTCCCTTTCGTTTCGCTTCCTCCAGCACAGCGATTGCCAACCTTTTTCACCTCATGGCACACGTAAACTAATTACTAAAATTCTGCAGCACACCAAAAAGATATTTTTGGCCGATCCGATGAAAAATGGGTATAATTTTTATTCATTCACACTGGATGGCTATTGTGTTGGCTGTTGTCATTTTTCCATTTGATAGTCCAAGGGGAAGGAGGCCAGTGCCCCTGACGGAATAGTCTGGTATTGCAGGTTCTAAACATTCTGCAGCACACCAGTTGAAAATCACTGCTCTCGCAAATACACTTTCTAATGATCCCAGTTTCTTCTTTGTCATATTGAGAATGACAGTGATGAAGTGTGGCAGGGGGGAAGGAGGCTGAGACTTTTTAAGACCATCACATTACTTCTCTCCAAAGTTTCAAGAATTCTGTGGTTATAAATAGTGGTTATCCTTTTCATCGCTAAAACTCTGAAAGTGTGAGAACTGAAAAGAGATGATTTATGCGGAAATGATTTTGCTGATAGCATTAGCTATTAGTGCTCATCCATCTCTCTGATTAGACGGTGCCTTTCTGGAAGCGGGAGATAATGTCACACCGCTATGCACGTGGGCAGTGTTCAAACGCTGTTTGCAGAATGCGATTCAGTGGGATAAAATATTATATTTCACAAGTCAAAGTGAAGTCCTTAAAAAGCAAGTACTAGTTTAGTGTCCTCTCCTACGTGTAGCCACGCTGATCAGCACTCAGTCAGCAGAAGTATCTGAAATCGGATCACCTGTTTTGATTAGCAGAGGTGCTGAAAAGCTTGTGGATTTGGGAGGAAGACAAGGATGAAAATGCTGGATGCAGACCTGGCAGCCTTCACACTTCTGCTGTCATGCTCTGAAAGCCTCCTTTGCCTTCAGCTGAGAAAGGACCAGTGATAAGTTCTGCCTGGCTGTGCCCGGCCATACCCAAATCTGGGTTGTTCTGTTTTCCATGATATGATTTTTTGTTTGTTTTAGTATAGAATTGTTATTTTAAAAGCTTCAGAGGATTCATTGATTGAGATATCACTTTTAAATTCCTAACCCCAGGCTTTGACTTGAGAGGGAAAAAACCCTGAGCAGAATGATGAGAGAAAGTTTGACAATTGCTACTGTACACAGGAGAAAATGTTTCCTAGTGAGCTATTGCATGGTCACACTCACATTTAGTGGTCTACGTGACAACAAAGGTTCCTTCACTCATGAAAATCACACCTCTGCACTGACTCTCAGCAGCTTATCTGGAAATTGCTGTGGTCTGTCCTTTCCCCAAGATATCTTTATAGACCTGAGTTCATGTAGAAATCGACAGAGAAGCTAGTGGTGGTTCTCCCACCACAGTGTGCTTGTTAATCATGCAGATTCTGGGGCTGCTCGTTTTGAAGAGAGATGAGACCAAGGAATTTGCATTTTCTTAGGCCTGCAGTCACCATGATGCCTGTGTTCTAGACACCACCCACTGAACAACACCGAGCCGGGAACTGGTCCGCTAGTCTGACTAACTGAAACAGGAGCTACGTGCAAGCCTGCGGCTATACAACTAGAAGAACAAACCTCCCAGCAACTTGAAAGGTAGCCCACCACTCACACTACACAGATGTCTTTACAGGAGGACTTGCATTCTTTGTGCCCAGAACATAATTGTCCACAACTTCATTTACCTACTGCTGACAGTGTTGTGATCATTTCTAAGGCAACATCAGGTTTGTGAGTTTCTCTGACTTGCTTTCTTTTTTTCTCTGTGTGTGTGTGCTTTATGCTTTTATTATAGAATGAAACAGATACAAATATACAGCTTACTAAATTATTATTAAAAAAACACCCTTGCAACAACTACTCATGTCAAAAATTAGAACTTGGCCAGTCACCCCAGAAGAGCCTCCATGTGTCCCCTCCTCATCACAGACCCTTCGTCCCTCCAAAAGTGACCACTATGCTGATGTGATCTTGCTTGTATCTCTTCATTGTTTTATCACCCAAGTAAGCATGCCTGGACGCTATGATTTACTTCTGGCCAGTGTTTCACTTGATATGCCTTTTAAGTCTTTTTTAATCTACAGATTCCATCTATATTCCTTTCTTTTCCATATAATTTATCTGTTCAAGATCCTGGGGCATTAGACCTGCAGAGTTTCCCACAATTTGGGTGTGTTGGTTGCGCCCACATGAAGCAGTGCATTGATTCCTCCATTCTCCTTACTTTCTACAAACTGGCAGCCAGAGCCTGAGACCTGATTGGTTAGTCTCAGGTTCAAGTTCTTGGACAAAACTATACGTAGCATTGTGTTCTCTTATCAGGAGGCACCTTTGGGTGCTCTTTCTTGATAGATGCTATCAACTATTTTGGTAGTTGGTGCCCTGTCCCTAAAACTATTAATGTATCGGGGCTACAAGATGATGGTATTCTCAGTCTATCATTTTGTTTTTCCTTTACTACCTGGAATAACTTTATAGAAGAGCCTTCACTTTATCGACTATTTGGTTACAGTGATACAATTCATCAAGAAAAATTTTAAAAAATTCTTGATTCTTTCTATTTTTTTCTACCCAGTGTTCAAGATAACGAATTGGTTCTCTGTCACGTTCAGAAGGTAACCAACTATTTGGTTTAATTAATATCATTTTGTACTCATAGATTTAAACACATTTGATGAGTTTTGATCCACTATAATTCTTAACCTTATGGAAACTCAAATTGTCCCTCTTTGGTCAATGGGATCCCCTTCAGTTTGACTAGGATGAGTATTCTAGTGGTCCTTGATAGCTTCTTTGCTTATCTTATATATTGTCCAACTTGAAATCGGCCATTTTCCCAAGAAACCTTGGTTTCCTTTAATGGGGAAAAAAACAACTCCAGCCCTGGCTGATTTGGCTCAGTAGTTAGAGCATCGGCCTGCGGTCCAGAGAGACCCAGGTTTGGTTCCCACTAAGGGCACATACCTTGGTTACAGTTTGTCCCCGGCCCCGGTTGGGTCATGCGGGTGGCAGTCACTTGATGTGTCCCTTTCACGTCAATGTTTCTTTCTCTCTCTCTCTTCCTTTCTCTACCCCCCTCTCTATCTGAATCAAAAATGTCTTCGGGTGAGGATAAAAAAAAAAAAAAAGAGATTGCAGAGCCAAAATAAACTCAATTTGATATTCTTAAAAAAAAAAAAAAACCTCCAAATTACCATCTGTGGAGTAAGGATGCTCATTACTACTAGTTTAGTTATTATTTCTAGGGTTTTGTAATTAATAGAGCTAGGAAATATGCATACTTAAAAATAAAACATCTTATCAATTCATAACTGATATTTCTAATCAAATTCAGGACTACAGGGTTCTTACCTAACATTTTTTTTTTTATCCTCACCTGAGGATATTTTTCCATTTTTTTGTACAGATAGAGTGGGAGGGAGAGAGAGGAAGGGAGAGAGAGAGAGAAACATCGACGTGAAGGGACACATCGAGTGGCTGCCACCCGCACGACCAACCAGGGCTGGGGACAAACTGCAACCGAAGTACACGCCCTTAGCGGGAACCGAACCCAGGTCTCTCCGGACCGCAGGCCAAC